TGTTATTTTTAAGTTAAATATTTTTATTGATAATCAGAGAGAGAACAGTTATAAATAAACATTTAACAACAGAGTTCCAAACCACATAAACCATAAAATGGCAGAATCAAAGGGGAAAATAAGCAATCCACCAAAAATTATTAAAGTTCTCAATATCCCTACTGTGATAGTTAGAATAATGCCCGTCCCCCAAATTGTCCACGCCCTAATCCCTAAGACCTGTGAATATGTTACTTTAAAAAAACACACAAAAAAACCCCTCTAAGGCAGAGATGATGATGTGGAGCGATGGAGCAGCTGGAGACATTAGATCCAGAGAGGGAGAGTGACTGTGTGCTGAAGACCTGGGGGGTACTACTGGGGAAGGATTGCATGGAGGGGATTGTAACCATGGCAATGAGACGATAGGATAGAATGAATGTAAAACTAATGTTCTCCCATGTAAACGATCACACAATTCACAATAAAACATTTAAGAAAAAAAAAAAAGAATACAAAAAAAATTAATCTCAATTTAATATCATACCAATAAAACCACCTTGAGATTTTTTCAGAACTAAATAAACATTTTTATGGAAAGAAAAAACAACAACCCTGTATTCACTTTATTTATTTTCATACCTATGAAACAAAAAATATATTCTTATTTAAATATCCAAAGGGTACATTTTGCTAGTTGTTCCATAGGGTTTTCAATGACTGCTTTTTTTGTGTGTGCAAGATCACCAAATCTTTTTTCCCAGGCACCTGACCATATGGATGGACTTGAACCTTCAACCTTTCAATTAGCAGCAGCTGAGCATATTAACTATTTGCATCACCTAAGGACTCCACTGAGATCACTGCCCTTCTTGAGTCCCAGACTTTGGGGTAGTGAGGAAGAGTTCCTGGGTGGCACAAAGAAAGGTAAGTGCTTACTACTAACTGAACAGTTGGCAGTTTGAACACATCCAGAGGCCTTCTGAAAGGTCACAGCCATGAAAACCCCACGAAGCAGTTCTACACTACTCACGTGGGTTTGTTGGGAATTGGAGCTGATTCACTAGCAACTGAATAGGTAGGGTAGAGATGAACCTCCAGGTCATCTGTCTAGTCCCCTTTAGACAAGGCCTCAACCTAGGCCTTGGGACACATACTTCCGGGAGATGTTGGAGAGGTGGGGGAACCTATACCCTCTTTGGGATAAGCACATCAGCACTAAAAGTCTTGGAAGTCTGGAAGCAGAAGAATCTTCTCAACATTGTGTACCCAGTGCTTCTTACCAGGTACTCATGAACGACACTCAGGACCTACAATGGTAACTGCTGTCTGAAACCCAACAGGGACATGCTGGGGATTGATTCAGTCCTGTTTGAAGATCTCACTAAGCCATTCCATTTTCTAGCATCTCTACTCATTAGAAAGTTCTTCCATTAATTTGATCACTTTTGTCCTCTGAGATGCTTGGAGAAAATACAGTGCCCCTGGCAACACGACAGTCCTTCAGTTATCTGAAACCAGTTGTCCATGTCTCCCTCCCCTTGTCTCACCACCTAACTTTTCTTCCCAGCTGAGTCTTGTCTTCCTACAACAGGGCTGTCCAGACCCTCAATTCTGGGTGCCCACCAGCTGTGTGCTTCCCATTGAGGGCACCCTGCAGTCAGAGCCCTAACTCTCTAGCCTTACGAATCAGTGACCTACATAGATCACAAGCAACTGTCTGCTTGAAAATAAAAGCAGTTGCTTGTCTTCATCTAGACTGTCAATTTCATGACGGCACCTACCTGATTTGTTTTTGCGGACTCCCTGAAGCATCTACTATTGTGTATGTCTCTCTTCCCTCCCTGTTTAGAACACTACTCCCTGTAGCAGAGACCAAAGAATTTAGAGTCTACAGAAGAGTGGGGAGGAGATGAGACAAAGATCACTGTTGTTTGATTCTTGCTATCTAGTGATGTCGCAAGGACAGAAAGTTACTTGAATTAAATTATAGCACAAGGAGAAAAGTATTGTAGCAGGAACTGGGCAGATGTGCCTGGGAAAGCCTCGTCCACAGTTGAAGGTGGAATAGATGGAGGAATTGGGACCGTTCATGTGAGGGGCTGGCTTCTGGCTGAGGAGGACAAGCAAGGACCCCTACAGACCCCACTAAGTGATAGCTCTGGTGATCCCTCACTCACCTGTCACATAGGGTCACCTCAGGTTTCCGTCTCACCCAGGGAGAGTTGGTGTGGAGAGGAAACAAGCCAGCCATGAGGTAGTCCCCTGGGAGGCTGAAGTCAGGGGAAGACGCCATTTCATGGCAGCCTAAAGCCCAGCAGCAGCAGGCCAGGGACAGCTGCAGGCCTAGTAGGTGAGTGGCCCGGAGGAGCATGCTGGCCCAATGCTGGAGTGTGACATGGCTGAGAAGCCCAGAGGAGGGGAGGCTGGCTGTTTAAATAGAATACAGGGCAGCTGCCTGGATGCATAGCAACCACACACTGGGGGCAAGGGGTGGGACCCGGCCCTGGTGTAAAGACCGGGTGTTTGGCTTGGCCTTCCGGGGCCTGCGGTCCCACAGGAACCAGGCAAGGCAGAGACTTGATGCAAACCAGGCGACAGCACAGGCTGTCCCCTCCGGTGGTTGTGGTTTTGTCCCTGCTAGGGGAGCCCTGTTGTTTTTTGTTCCTGTCAACCTGTACGGAGGGTGGCTGTCAGGGAGCTGTGGGCTCTGGAATCCCCTAACTCAGACCAGTTTTAGTTTACCGATTGAGATGTGACTAGGAGTTGACACCCCGCCAGGCTCGGTTACCAGTTTTCAGACCCTGACATTTGGAATAAAATCATACTGGTCTCACCGGGTTACCTAGAACCCAGGGTTGCCTTCCAGCCATAAGACAAATGCATGCAAACAGCGGGTATGCAAATGGTCCGGTTTTGTATAAAACCCCACTCCTGAGACTTTTTCTGCACGAATTAGGCTGCAGAAATTGCCCCCAGATGGATTTCCGGAGAGATGGCCCCCGCAGCTGGACCCAGGGTTTCTGGCTTTCCCTCTCAAACCCATTGGGATGGACTTTTGCATAATGTAAATAGAGTTAGCGGGGGGTAGCGGGGGAGGCCTTGTCCAGAGCAACACAGCCGGCTGTCCCCTACAGCCCGCCTTAGATTCCCTAGAACCTCTGAGGGACCGACGGAACCCCTCCAGGTCGCTTCCGGGGTTTATTCAGTGTCGCCGGCAGAGGGCACCATCGGCTCCGAGGCTGCCCCTGTGCTCCACGGGGCGCGGGGCGGAGCGACGGGATATCGCGAGAAATCGCGTACAAGCGCCGGCAGCTTAGCATGGCGGACTCACTGCAGCTAGTCAAGCGGGGTCCCTTCCGCTTTGTGCGGTCGCGGGCCCGCAAGGCCTGGCACCAGCTTATTCTTAGCCGCCGGCTCCGCTGCCGGCCCGGGCCCTTTCGCTGGTGCGGCCGGCGGCGACTGCGACGGCGGCTGCTGCGGGCTCAGGCAGCAGGCGTGGACTGGAGGGAGGGCGGCTGCCAGGTGTCTGGTGCGGCGGCGGAGGTAGCAACCCGGGGGCTCAAGGCCAAGTTCTCCCGCCCCAAGACCTCGTTGCCCCGCCCCGCCCCGGCCGCGACCTCCCGCCCCGCCCCAGCCGCGACCCCCGCCCCCTCTCGGGCCCCGGCGGTCCCCACGTCTCCCCGCATCCCGCCTCCGCTGCTTGCGGGCCCCGGCCGCGCGGTGATGCTGCTGCCGATTGAGAAGGTGGGTGGCGCTGTGGGAGTGTGGTGGGCTGAGAGGGATGGAGGCGCAGTCCCTGGAGAGTCTTGGAGGAGACCTCTGGTTGTTCTCTAGCTGCAAGTTATGTCTATTTCCTTAGCGGTGGTACTGAGCAGCAGGGTTACACCGGTTTTTGCCAATGAGAATCTAGACCTTCAGAGCTGAAAGAGAGTTTGTTGTCAGGTGCCATCGAGTCAGTACCTACTCAAAGCGACCCTATGTACAACAGAGCAAAACACTGCCCAATCCTGCACTAACCACACAATCCTTGCTACATTTGAGCCCATTGCTAATGCCAGTGTGCCAGTTCATCTTGTTGGGGTCTTCCTCTTGTTTTTTCCAACCCTCTACTTTGTCAAGCATGATGTCCTTCTCCAGGAACTGGTCCTTCTTGATGATAATGTCCAAAGTGTGAGACACTACTAAGTCTGGCGATACAGACTTCTAAGGAACATTCTGACTACTTCTTCCAACACAGATTTGTTTTGGCAGTCCATGGTACTTGTAATATTCTTCTCCAACACCATAACTGAAATGTATGTTCTTCTATGATCTTCCATATTCATTGTCTAACGTACGAAAGCATATGATATTATTGAAAATACAATGGCTTGGGTCAGGTGCACCTGAGTCCTCAAACTGACATCTTTGTTCTTCAACACTTTAAAGAGATTTTGTGCAGCAGCTTTACCTAATGGAATATGTCATCTGATTTCTTGACTGCTGCTTCCATGAGTGTTGATGGTTGATCTGAGCAAAATGAAGTCTTTGACAACTTCAGTCTTTTCCCCATTCATATGGATGTTGTTTATTGGTCCAGTGGTAAGGATTTTTGTTTTCTTTGCATTGAGTTGCAACCCATTCTGAAGGCTGTGGTCTTCGATCTTCATCAGTAAACATTTTAAGTCCTCTTCACTTTCAGCAAGCTAGGTTGTATCATCTGCATTATCACAGATTGTTAATGAATCTTTCTCCAATTTTGATGCCATGTTTTTCGTCATATAATCCAGCTTCTCAGATTACGTGCTCAGCATACAGATTGAATAAGTATGGTGAAATAATATAACCCTGGTACACACCAAATGGTTTAAAATTTCAGTAATTATCAGTTGTTGTTGTTGTTGTTAGGTGCCATCCTGTCGATACCGACTCATAGCGACCTTATGCACAACAGAACGAAACACTGCCCGATCCTGGGCCAACCTCACTACTGTTGCCACACTTGAGTTCATTGCCACTTGGCCAATCCATCTCGTTGGGGGCCTTCCTCTCTTTCTCTGACCCTGCACCTTACCAAACATGATATCCTTCTCCAGCGACTGGTCCCTCCTTACAACATATCCAAAATAAGAGAGATGAAGTTTGGTCATCTTGGCCTCCAAGGAGCACTCTGGCTGCACTTCTTCCAAAACGGATCTATTGGTTCTTTTGGTATCCCATGCACTTTGAATATTCTCCTCCAACACCATAACTCAAAGGCATAAATTCTTCTATGGTCTTCCTTATTCACTGTCCAGCTTTTGCATGCATATAAGGTTATTGAAAATACCATGTACATCTTGATTATTTGTCTGATCAACTTCAGACTGAAAAGGTTAGTAAAATTCTTCATCGTCACTGACTTTAGTGGTTGGTGCGTAAAGTTGAATAATAGTGGTATTAACTTGTCTTCCTTGTAGGCATATAGATATTACCTTAGCACAGACAGTGTGGTACTTCAGGACAGATCTTGATATGTTCTTTTTGATGATGAATGCGACACCATTCCTCTTTAATTTATCATTCCAAGCATAGTAACCTATGTGATTGTATGGCCAATACCTGTCCATTTCAGCTCACTAATGCCTAGGATATTGGTGTTTATACATTCCATTTCATTTTAGATAATTCCACATTTTCCTAGATTCATACTTTATACATTCCATATGAAGATTATTAATGGATGTTTATAGCAGTTTCTTTTCCTTTTGAGGTGTGCCCCATGAGCAAATGAAAGTTCCGAAGGCTTTACTCCATTTGCATTATGATCAGCTCTACTTTGAGGAGGCAGCTCTTCCCCAGTCGCATTTTGAATGCCTTCCAATCTGAGTAGCTCATCTTCTGGCACTATCACAATATTCTGGTGCTCTTCGTCATTTCAATATTTAATATTCTGGTGCAGTCTGGCAGTATTCCCCTGCTATTCATAAGGTTTTCAGTGACTTAGTATTTGGAAGCAGTCCGTCTCTCCTTTTTTCTAATCTATCTTCCCCTGGAAGCTCAGCTGAAACCTGTCCACAGTGTGTGACCCTGCTGGTATTTAAAATATTCGTGGCATAACTTCAGAACCACAGCAACACGTAAGCCACCACAGTACGACAAACTGACGGACTAGTGGTGGATAATGTGTAGTAATGGTGGTCGTGGTACTAATAATAACAGGCCGTATTTCCTGGGTGCTTAGAAACACCAGGCTCTGTTCTTGCATTTAGTGCTCCCAGCTCTTTGTGGAGTAGCAAATACTGTGAATATGCTCATTTGCATACGGAAATAGAGAGTACAGTTTAGGTAGCTTGCCAGAAAATCAATACAATAAGAATCAGAGCTAGGATTCAGACCCAGCTGCTTGAATGCTCGTCTAGCAGATTTTGTCCAGTGCTAAAGAGGCGAGACCTAGTATTCATTGATCCTTTATGAAGGCATGTGGTAGAATCAGAGCCATTCATGGGAACCCCTTGTTTCTAATGTAGTCATACTAGGATCTTCAAAAATTAAACCCGCTGTTGTCATATCAACTCTGACTCTCCTGAGGAGCAAATGATGGATTTTAACCACCGTCCTTTCTGTTAGCAGCCCAGCTCCTAACTCATAGCCTCACCAGGGATCCTTCACTGGGATTTTAGGTCAGTAATATTAAGTATTTGCTAGTCACCTGGTGTGGCGCTATAGGATAAGCATTGGACTGTGAACCACAAGGTTGGCAGTTCAAACCCATTAACAGCTCCTTGGAAACCCTATACAGGGTTGTTATGAGTTGGATCCAACTCAGTTGCACTTAAAAGCAAGAAGTTACCTAGTGCAATGCAATCAGTTAAAAATTTGTCACCTTTTGATACGTGAATAGTGAGTTAAGATTTTAGAATTTGTCAGTTATTGACAACAGGATTAATCACGTCATTTCCTTTCTTTTTTCTTTCCCGGACAAGTCTTTTGTTTTTGGTGGAATCTGTCGTGTGACTTGCCTCTATGGCCGAGTACAAGTATTTGGATTTACCATCAGCCAAGGCCAGCCTGCCTATGAGGTCTTCTCTGCTTATACCAACTCCCTCCTGAGTATCACTGCAGTCCATTACCCGATGCCTGAGAAAAGCAAGAAGGAGATGAAGAGGGAAGCTCGCCGTTTGCTCAGAGCTCATCTGATGCAGGGTAATCAAAAGAATGGGTGACAATGATCTGCTTTAATAAGACTAGTAATTGTTAGATTCTCCCATAAAGATTTACAGCCTTGGAAACTGTATGGAGAGTCCTAGTGGGTGTGGCGTTGTAGAATAAGCACTGGACTGCTCACCACAAGGTCACAATGAGTCAAAACTTACTCAACAGCTCTTAGCAACAGCAACATGGTCTAGGTCTTACATTAAACCCACTGCAGTCAAGCTGATTCTGACTCATAGCAACCTATGTTCTCATTAAGTGTCCTTGACTTGGTTCTGACTCATAGCAGCCCTGTATGGGGTTTCTGAGGAGTGGCTAGTAGGTTTGAATCGCCAACCTTAGCAATCCAGTGCACAGTGCCACAGCAGGACTCTCAATAGGGCTTCCAAGGCTGTAAATCTGTATGGAAGCAGACTGCCTCATTAGTCTCTATTGGAGCAGCTGGTGGGTTAGAACCTGGACCTTTCGGTTAGTAGCCCATTGCTTAACCACTGTGCCACCAGAGCTCTTTAGGTATTACATTGTTGTTAAATGCCTTTGAGTCTGTTCCGACTCATAGTGATCATGTATGGGGTTTCCGAGGAGTGGCTGGTGCATTTGAACCACTGGCTTTGCGGTTCACACTCACCTTTCAGTCCAGTGTTTATCCTGGTTAAACCCTCACAGTGGTACTTAAGGAGTCCCCGTGTGGTGCTGTAGGGATAACACTAGACTGTTAACCTCAAGGTTGGTGGTTCAAGCCCACTATCCACTCCTCAGAAATACTATATAGGGTTGCTATGAGTCAGAACCAACTCAATGGGACTTACCAAAAACAATGGTCTTTAAAGTGATTCTGCAATTTTTTTCACCTATTTTATTGATGAGAAAAGTTGCATTAAGACCACAACCTTTATATGAGGCAAACCCAGATGAACTTCTCCATACAAGTGTTTACCTGCTAGGTAGTCACACTCACTGCCATCTGTTGCTGCTGTGTGTCATCGAGTCGGTTCTGAGGCTGTAAATCTTTACAGGAGCAGACAGCCTCATCTTTTTCCCTAAGAGTGGCTGTTGGGTTTGAACTGCCGACCTTTGGTTAGCATTTCAGTGCTTATCCTAATCGCACCACCAGGTCTCCTTTGGCTATGCAGTATTTCCTCATAAAAGAGGCTGTAAAAGCATAATTGCGATCAAAAAGTTTATAATTTAGAGAAGGAGGTGGTACTTGTATAGAATGTAACTGAGTTCCTGTTTATAAGGTAGTTTATTTTTGTGTTCACAGGTGACAGATGTAAGCTGATGAAGAATTTTTCTCCTCTGTGTTCCATTGTGATGCTAGAACATCTTAAAACATCACCTACAGAGTTTATAATCAGCCATCTGGGCTTATCTTACGTCTTTTTACAAGAGGTAGAGCATGTCTTCATCCACAATTTTGTTAGTTACTTGCACCAAAATAGTCATCAAATGGCGTTTGATAAGATGTTTTGGTGGAAGATCAGTTTGTTCATCATAATAGTGCTGTAGGTTATGCAGACTATAACACATGTGTAATATTAAGAAATAATACCTGCATATAGTAAAAGACAGTTCAGATATTTAGTGAAAAGATGTCTCCCTTCCTTGGTTTCATTCCCCAGTGAAAGCCACCATTTCATATTGTAGTTTTTTAAATGCCTTTTTTTTCTTACTATATCTGAATTTTTGTAATATCTGCTTTTTTTTTTTTTAGGTTTTTATTATGAATTGAATGAAAGTTTACAGGGTAGATCATCAGTTTTACATTCAACAAATCATACACCTTACACCTTGTTTCATTACAATGATTATAATCCCCTCCATGTACTGTCAGATAACAGTATTTCTCTCTATTAACTTTAGCTCTTTTTTAAAAAACACTCAGGCATATATAATAATTTAAACCACCAAAGGGCACATTCTGCGAGTCTGCCTCCTGGCCACCAGCTCTCAGTCCCTCTCGTCCCATGAGTCTAGTGTCCTCAGCTGCTCTCTCTTTTCATGTCCCCGTCTCTGCCTCCATTTCTGGTGTCGCTGCTTCCCTGGACAAGATCTCACATTCTGCTTGTGCTCTTCTCCCTTGATGGTCCTAGGGTCCTTTGTTTCTGGACTGTAAGATTAACTGCTCCCCCGTTTTTGATACAAAACTTCCACCTTTACAATTGTGACAGTTGCAATTAGTCATGATAACTCACTATTGAATCATAAGAATCTTATCCCTTTCTCTTTTAACCAGACCCATCTAGAAAAGATGAAAGTAAAAACTATTCAGTGAGGACTCTTTCTTCCCCCACATACTCTTAAACTAAACTCCCTCTTGAAACCTTGTAAGCCAGTCACTTTGTGCCTTTATCGCCCCATCATTTTAGGTAGCCAATGTCTAAGTTGCCCTTTCTTATCTACTCTGGGTATAGAAGGGATAGCATTGATACTTGATGTGAAGTCTCCTTCCCTCTCTGCTGATATTCAGAGTTACTATCTCATGAGTATGTTGTTGTTGTTGTTAAGTGATGTCGAGTCGGTTCCAACCAACAGTGACCCCGTATAGGGTTTCAAAGAAGACGCTGGTGGAGCTTTGCAGTCTGGTGCATTAACCCACAGTACCACACCAGTACTCCATGAGTAATAGGTCAAGTTAATCAAATTGTAGCAATTTACCCTCATTTCCTTTACCAAAAAAAAAAAAAAAAAGTTCTTCTAGTCAAGTTCTGATTATCAAGCCATCAAGCCTAGGTCAAATGGGTACTATCTGCAAGTTTGGGTGTACTTGTGCATCTCCCTTCACTTCTTATCAGCTGGATGCTTCACTCTAAGCTCTAGCCCTCCATGGCTATGTCCTTGTCCATGAGATCAGGTGTCCCCAGGTCTCACCACACTTTAGATCAACTAGCCCTTCCTCTTTTTTTCTCTCATCTCCAGGTCAGCGTAGTCTATGGACCATGGTTGAATTTAACCCATTTCTTCATTGCTGCCTTTCCCCCTCTTCCACTCACCAGTGCATCAATGTGGTTGTCAGCAAGCTTACATGCCTGCTCATATGTTCCCTTTGAGTTTCAGTCTTAGAGGGGGGTTTGTCCTGAAGGAAATTGATTGCTTGCCTTGATGGCTTCCCGGCAAACAGCTTGCTTATTCTTGTAGTAGCCAGTCATACTGCCATTTTTGTTTTGGTTTTTTCCTGATGATCTTTTTTGAAGATATATCTTCTGCCACTCTAGCTGTTCCAGGCCTATCCTTTCTAGTAGTAATGTCCTACCTCAGAAGGTTCTGGATGGGGCTCAGGAATCCACCTAAGGACCTAGACACTCCAAAGGCTCAGCAAGAGGTCTATTTCACTGGGCAGGTTCTAGAACCCCTTTTAGGTATCCCAATCAGTTATAAGCTGAAGACAGGCTTACACGCTTTCTGTAATCATGTTTCCCGACATTCCTTTCTATCCCACTCAAGTGTCTATTTTACAGTAGTAGGCAAGGAAAACCAATATGCATGAGACAGTCAAGCATTTTAGTATTATTTCCCCTTTTCAAACTATGCCTAGATCCCTGTATCACAGAGCCCTGTTTTAAATGACTTTTGGTTTTTCGGTGGTTATCTTTATGAATTCAAGTAGCAACCCTGTATAGGGTTTTCGAGGCTGTAAATATATTACAGGAGCAGAAAGCTTCATTTTTCTCCCGAGTAGCGGCTGGTGGATTCGAACTGCTAACCTTGTAATTAGCAGTCCTGTGCTTATAAGCTCCACCAGTGCTCCTTATGAACTCATAGAGGATGTTTTATTAAATCTATTGTTGTTGTTGGTTTTTTTTGTTTTTTGTGTGTGAATCGAGTGAATGTTTATAGAAGAGATCATCACTAATACAGTCAACAAATCATATACTTTGTTTCATCTCAATGATTGCAGTCCCTTCCATGTAATAACAGTTATCCCATTTCCTCCTTGTGGTAAAGGGCAGGATCAAATTTGGTAGCTCACAATTGTATGAGGCACATTAATTTAGAAATGAAGAAAAATGTGCATTTTCTTTCATCTTAAAGCTTAAATTGTTTATTCCAGACTCCCACTTCCCGCTATAGCCCTGAATATTTAACTTTAAAGTCTGTTGGCATCATGAGAAGCAAGAGAAAAAATGGCCTTCAGTTAAGTGACAGTGTCATTTCAGCAGTGGATGAATTGGTCAGTGTTTCCTGTGGTGAGTAATACACAATGATACATGTGGTGGTTCATTCCACCAAAACTTCAGAGGATTACTACTCATTACTAAAGTCCTAAAGAAGATGGCTAATGCTAGGTGTCACTGTTTGTTTCACCCCCAGAAGAAATAGATGGCTGCCCTGTCATTTTGGTTTGTGGATGCCAGGACATTGGAAAATCAACCTTTAATAGATACCTCATTAACCAGTTGTTAAATTGGTAAGAGTGCTTTTATTCTTGTATATTTAAACATAAAGTTAGGGGTGTTTTGTTTTTTTTTTAATTGTGAATTATGTTTACATGGGAGAACATTCATAAAGTTAGGTTTTTTTAAAAAGTACGATCTGTTTATTCATTGGATTTTTTTCATTTAAAAATCTTGGGGAATGCACACTGATGTCTTAATAGAGATTATATACAAATGCAGCCTGAAGTTGCTTAGCCGAGTGATGACAATCATTATTTTGGTTTGTTTGAGAATGAGGTAATAACACACTTAGGATGTATCGACCTTGACTTGCTTGTAGTTGACCTTGCAAGAGAGGTTTCAGCCTCTGTTTTTCCAGATGCTATTTCTGAATCCAAAGATTCCAAGTAAGGATAAATGTTGTTATACTTTCTAAAATGTAATTTTAGGAAGGATCTAGTTGCATCCAGATCATAAGCAAATAGTTTTTATCAGGCTTGTCTCCTGTTTGCTTTTGATATTTGTGATTGGTAGTCTGCAAAGAAAATGTGATGGTTGTCTTTGGTACATTATACCTGGAAAGCTTGGCATCCACTGAATCATACCTTTGTGTCATCTAAAATCTTTTAGATCTGACTTAATCTCTTCTGTAGAATGTAGCTAGTATAAGATTTATTTTTTCACTTTTCAGTATTCCCTGTATTGACTATTTGGAATGTGATCTGGGACAGACAGAATTTACTCCTCCTGGCTGTATTTCTCTGTTCAATATTACGGAACCAGTTCTGGGTATGTGGTATATATATTGTAAATGTTTTGGTTTTATAAAATAAAGTAATGATTCTTATGAAAACTTAAAGAATATAAAAGCATAAATTGTAAAAAATGAGCATGCTCCTTTAGCCCCTGAATGGGTGTTTTCAAAGGTTCTATTTCAGTAAATGGTCCTAATATCCGTTTTGTTGTATGTAAATTGGAAACATGCCTTTTCTCTAGTAATAATAACATTTAACAGTTATTAACTAGTACAGTTATTAAGGAGCACTGGTAGCGTAGTGGACTATGAGCTAGACTGCTAACCATAGGTTAGTAGTTCAAAATCTAACAATCACTCCATGGGAGAAAGATGAGGCTTTTTACAGCCTTGAAAACCCTATACAGGGTCACTATGAGTTGGAACCAACTCGGTGGCACATAGCCACCACCACCAGTGTAATTATCAAACCAAGAAATTATCACTGATAGCAACAGTTTTAATTAATCTATAGATTGTATTCACATTTCACCAGATATCCCATTAATGTCTGTTTTCTTGTGTAGAATCCAGCCTAGAATCCCACTTTGCATTTTGTTGTGGTTCCTAAGCCTCTTTTATTACAAGAAGGTTCCTCAACTTTTCTTTGTTTTGTATGACTTGAAACTTTAGAAATGTGCTGGCTGATGCCTCAGTGAGCTAAGGTTTGGGCTGGTAACCACGGGGTGGTGGTTCAAACCCACCAGTTGCTCTTCAGGAAAGAGATGTAGCTGGTTGCTCACATAAAGATTTACAGTCTCCAAAACCCCAAGGTAGAATTCTGATCTGTTGTATTGGGTCACTGTTAGTTGACTCGATGACAGTGTTTTGGTTTCATTTGCTCTGTATTTTGCAAATGGGTATCCAACTATTCCAGAGCCGTATGCTTCACTGAGTTGTCTTTGCACATTTTTCGAAAATCAATTGTCCATATATATGTGGGTCTATTTCTTTTTTGGTTAATCCTGGTGTGGCACTGTAGCATAAGCACTGACTCACTACAAGGTCGGATGTTCAAACCCACCAACCTCTCCTTGGAAAACCTATATATGGTTACTGTGAGTTGGAACAGACTCCGTGGTACTTAACAGCGACATCAGCATTTTTCTTTCTAAATAATATTGTGGTTTTAGTGAAAGTTTACTCAACAAATTAGTTTCCTGTTGACAGTTTCTTTGCAAATTTTTCAGTAACTTTAGTTATTTTTTTCAAGTGTGTCATTGTCCTCTTTAATGGCATTCTGGTTGTTCTGTTTCTACTACTCTGGTTTCCCTACTCTGTTGTCTTCTCATCATTGCTCTATAGTAATTGTTGACCTTTTGGTTTCATATGCATGGTTTTTTAATATGGGAGTCTGTTTCTGGACTTCATTTTGTTCTATTGATTTTTTAAAATCAATCTTGATGCCATTTTGAAATCTTTGTGTTTCTCTTTTTAAAGCTTTTTTTGGCTGCTTATATCCTTTTTAGGAGAAACTTCAGATTTTCTACCACACAAAAAGCCTTCTGGGATTCCATTAAATCTGTAGCTCAATTTGGGGAGAATTGAGTCTTCCAACTATTGAACATGATATATCTCATCGTTCAGTTAGACTTTTTTCTCTCAGCAATGTTTTTAAGTTTTCAGTATACACGTTGTACCTATCTTTTGTCAGATATATAGCTGTTTTAGAAATTTCAGTGTCATTGCTGGTATATAGATAAACCACTGATTGCTGACTGTTGATCTTAGACCCTGTAACTGCTAAGGTAGCTTATTAGTTCTGGCAGATTTTTTGTAGACCCCAATCAGATTTTCTCCCAATGGACAGCTCTGTTTTCTTCCTTTCCAATTTGAGTGTCTTTTCTTTTGCTTGTCTGAATGACACTGCCTAGAACCCCCAGTACAGGGTTGTATAGAAGTGTGGAGAGTGGGCATCCGTGCTTTGTTTCTGATCTTTGATTAAGAACGGTCGCTCTTTAACCATTAATTATGGCCCGCTCTGAGTTTTTCAGAGGCACCTTTATCTGCTTGAGGATGTTCCTTTATAGTCTGAGTTTGCTGAGAGTTTTTATTAAGGATGAATGTTGGATTTTGTCAGACGCAGTTTTGAATGTGTCTGTTGAGATAATCCTGATTTAATTTGTTGATGTGCTGAATTACATTGCTTCTTATTAAAAATTTTATTTTATTGTGGTAAAAGTGTATATAACAACATTTCCCAAATCACCAATTAACAGACGCTTACTTGCCCTTACTCAATGACTTCCCTTGTCCCTCCTCCATCCCACCCTTAGTAACCATTAATAAACTTTGTCTCTGTATTAACTTGTTTCATATAAGTGGGATCATGCAACATTTGTCCTTTTGTGACTGACATTTTTCACTCAGTGGAATGTTTTCAAGGTTTGTCTGGATTGTGGCATGTATATAGGGACCTCAGTTTCTTTGTTGCTGACTGATACTCCAATGTATGCCTCTATCACATTTTACTTACCCATTCACTATTGTAAAAAGTGCTGTAATGTACTGGTGTCCAAGTTACATATTGATTTCTTTTTTTTTAATGTTGTTGTTAAGTGCCATCGAGTCGGTTCCGACCCATAGCGACTCTGTATAGGGTTTCTAAGGAATAGCTGGTGAGCTTGAACTGCCAACCTTGCAGTTCAAACAGCTTTGCAGTCTGTTGCGTTAACCAAAACACCCCAACATGTAACATATGCTATCTCAACAATTTCTACATGTACAGTTCATTCAGTTGTGCAGCCATTCTTTCAATTATTCTCCAAGTCATTCCACCACTGTTAAGATAGCCTCAGTACCCTGTAAAGAGAAACGACCCCTTCCCCACTGTTCCCCTACCCTGGTAACCACTAATAATTGGTGTCTGTTGTTTGCTTATTTCATGTAAGTAAGCTCTTAACAGTATTTATCCTTTTGCAGCTAACTTACTTCTCTTAACATAATGTTTTCAAGGTTAATCCAAGTTGTGGCATGCAGCAGAATTTCGTTTCTCTCTCTCTATCAAGGTAGTCCAGTGTGTGTATGTACTCTACCATGTGTTGTTTATCCACTCAGCTGTTGATGACCATTGAGTTGTTTCTACCTTTGGGCGATGGTGAAAAGTATTGCAATGAACATAGGTGTACAGGATTTTGTGTGCATTCGTGTCTTCACTTCTTCTGGGCATATGCCTCAGATTGGGATGGTTGGGTCGTATGGGACTTCTGTGTTCAACTTTTTGAGGAACCACCAAACTATTTCTCAGTGATAATACCATTTTACATTCCCACCAACAATGAGTGAGGGCTCCAGTTTCCCTACAACCTTACCCTCATCTTCTGGGTTTGTTTTTTTTCTTTTTTGAGCATTGCCATTATAATATATTGATTGATTTTTATTAATCATAGATTGTTAGTTTATTAAGACATATCCTTGAGGTATGATATTGTAAAGTGTGATATGGGCTTCCCTTTACATATGAAAGTAATCGTATAAGTACAAATAAAACATGGCTATATTCGTTTCCTAGGATTTCCGTAACAAAGTACCACAAACGTAGTGGCTTAATACAGTTGGAATTTATTCAGAGTTCTAGAAGTCACAAGTCTAAAATCAAAGTATCAGTTAGGCCATGCTCCCTGTGATGGCTCTGGTGAAGAAGCTTCTCTCACCTCTTCCTAGTTTCTACTGGGTCCTGGTAAAGCTTGCTATCCTTTGACTTGTACTCCCGCTGCTCCAGTAGCTGCCTGAGATCACATGACCTTCACTGTTCTCTCTCTGTCTACATATCCTCATTTTTTGTTGTTTTTTCCTCTACTGTGAATGGAGTGAAGGTTTATAGAGAAGATCATCAGTTTTACATTCAACAAAGCGTACACTTTGTTTCATATACTGGTTGATTTTTTAAAATCTCAAACTGCCTTTCATTCTTGGATAAATTCCACATGATCATGACATCCATTTTACATATTGTTGGATTTGATTTGCTCATCTTTTGTTTAGAATATTTGCATTCATAAGCGATATTTATCTATAGTTTTCTTAAAAGTCTTAGTCAGACTTTGCTATCAGGATAATACTGATGTCATAGAATGAATTGGGAGGTATATCCTCTTCAGTTTACTGAAAGCCTTTGTGTGAAATTGGCATTATTGCTTCTTCATATTGTTTGGTAGACATCAATGGTAAAGTCACCTGTTCCTGAAGTTTTCTTTTTGGTTAGGTTATTAAGTACAATTTACATCTTAGATAGTATAGTGTCTTGTGGTTTTTTTGGGGTAACTTTAATGCTTTTCTCTTGGGAATGTAGAACTATATCTCCTTTTCTTATTGAGTTTTGTAACCCCTTAATTAATAGAAATGCTCTAATGTCTTTTTGCTTTGAGTTCTAATTTGAAATTATCAACTTCTCACTTATTAATATTTGCCTAGTGAGGTTTTTTATAGAATAGTACTTTATTTTTCAGATCAGTTTTAAGTTTATAAAAAAAGTGCAGAAAGCACTGAACATTCTCATATGTGCCCCTCCCCCTCCACACTGTGTCTCCTGTGATTAACATCTTTGCATACCTGTGGGACATGTATTACAATTAATGAACCCCTGGTGATGTGATTAACCACTATTGAAGTCCATCATTTATATTAGGGTTCATAGTTTGTGTTGTACAGTACTGTGGGTTCTGACAAATGTATAATGTCATGTGTCCCCCATGACAGTATCATACAGAATAAGGTTACTGTCCTAAAAGTCCCTTGTGCTCCTCTTTGATTCCTCTCTGCACCTTGAGCTCCTGATACCTGCTGATCTTTTCTGTGTCTCTATAGTATGTCATAGAGTCCTGGTGTGGCGCTGTGGGTTAATGTGCCAGACTGCAAAGCCTGAACTGCAAGGTTGGCAGTTCAAGTTCACCAGCTGCTCCTCGGAAACCATATACAGGGTTGCTATGGGTTGGAATTGACTCGACAGCATTTCACAACAACATAGACTGTCATAGAGTTGGAATCATGCAGTATG